TCTAATTTTTTTTAAAAATTACAACTTATTTATAATAATAAAATCAGTAATTGTTACAATTCACTGAAACGACCAACAGCCAGAGGAGTAGCGGGGAGGGGGGGAGGGCGGGGGGGGGGACATATGTCCCCGGGCGCCTACCTTAGAGGGCGCCAAACTGGGTTGTAAAAATAAATTGAAAGGTTGAGGGGGTGGAAATCGAATGTTTGAGGGGAGGGGGTGCAAATTGAAATCTTGATGGGAGGTGCAAATTAAAAGTTTGTCCCCGGGCGCCCGGAATTGTCGCTACGCCTCTGCTAACAGCAATTTTTCTTCTAGTTGTGATCCCAATTTTAAAAAATAAAAACAAAGCAAAGCGAAAATATTTTATAAAATTGAAATGTATTATTTAAGATGTGTATAGCAACGCTAAATCAGCATTTAGATGTTAAAAACATATTACCACACTAATCACGCAAGTGTCTGACTTTATCATCCAATCACATTATTCGAGCAGTTGACTACCTAAATTATCCAATCACATTAATCGAGAATGTGACTGACCAAGACATCCCATGTATATTCTAGCTAATAACTTCTGCTTCGTTGGACATTGTAAGGATTTTTGCACCCAAGGCCACGCAGTCTGTGGCAATCCATTTCTTCTCGAGGGTTCCTTATCGGCCTACCTCCCAAACAGGTCTTTGAAGAAAGCGTCGAACGGTTTCCATAATCCTTATGCTGGGTCCTATACTTACAAATCAAAAGTAAGTTCGACTTCCTTTTATTCTCTGTATCTTGAAGCTGAACAGTTTTGCATTTCGATTTTTCACTTTACAGCTATTTTAGCTTAAATCTCTGTGAATACATTCATCATGTTTAATGCTAATTAGTAAACCCATGTTAATATATGAGCTAGGGGGGTCTACCACAAATTACCGAAAGACACTTGCCCGAATGCCGTTTGCCCGAAGGCCGATTTCCCGAATGGACACTTGCCCGAATGCGACAAACGCCCGAATGGACACTTGCCCGAATGCGACAAATGCCCGAAACCCATTTTCCCGAAGGCCGTTTCCCCGAAAAATGTTAATGTTAGAAAATAAATAATATTACCCAAATAGACATTCTTAATCAATTCAAGTTTGAAATATTGATAATAAACACAATTCTAAGTGTCCATTCGGGAAATCGGCCTTCGGACAAACGGTATTCGGGGAAGTGTCTTTCGGGAAAACGTCCGGCTCCTGAGCTAGGGTTAGGGTTATTATAATATATCGCTCATTATTAAAGTCGTAATTAGGTTCGTATATGAGATTTGTCAATGAACAATTCACTTCAGGCTAAATGGGAGCTGCACGAAGATTTCTGTGAAACAAATGTGAAAACAAAAACTTTTTATCAAGGTCGAATACTACTTGATCTAATAGACGTCTCCATTTTTGACTTTTTACAAGGTAACATTCATCATAATGCTAATCGAAAATAGTTGACACTGTGTATCTTTATATAGATAACTACACGACGTTATTGTATGTGAGTCGTCATTTAGATTTTAAAACATTTTTATAAAAGCTTCTACACTTTTAGGCAACATGGATCGGCATACACTAGAGAGGTTTCAAATGTTTGAAAATGACACGTTCCTTTTACTTTACGACAACGGCCGAGGGTAAGATTAAATACAGGAGGTTTGCTTTTGCATAAAATTCGAATTTCAAATTGCTGTTTATTATTGTAAGATCAGTTAGTGAAATTTGAATACATGGTCTCTATTTTATTTTTATAACAACATTTAAACAATATGTTTTAGACTATTTATGCCTGTCTTTTACCGTCATTTGAATTTTCACTTATATTATCTTACAACCAGATTTGGCAAGAAAAAAATTGACTACATATCGTTACTTGCCCCAGTTCGTCAGTGTTGTTTGGTTCGGTTATCTACCCTTGCCAAGTTGGTTAAACTTTACACTGGACCAGACAGCCTCAGTCAACTACTTAGGACGTCATTAAGCTCCGACCCCTTAGCTCCGGTATTGGATGAGCTGTACCTAGACTCTGTTGACAGACGTGTTGGTCTAATACTCAGTGCTGTGTATGATTGTGTCAATAGGACGGGATCCTGGGATCAAGTCATTGTTGATGACGGCATTGTATAGTTCTTATAAATGTGTACAATTTTATAAACAAGTATACCGTATACAATCACTACTGCAAAACTTTAATTTTAAATTTCCATCTCGTAGCTTAAAATTAAAATACATTATTAGATGATGTGTGCTTTTCTCTATTGACATTTGGATAAGAATCAAGGATTTGGAAAATCTCACCTTTAAGTCACAGACAGACGATTTATAAATATACTCAAACTCTTTTTCCCTCCACCATGCCTACGAGCTGATATGACGTTCAATGATTTACAATCAGAATAGTATATATATATATATATATATATATATATATATATATATATATATATATATATATATATATATATATATATATATATATATACCGAAATAACATCACCAATACAATCACTTTTGCAGCTCTTCAATCTTTAACAAAAAACCATAATAAAACTATATGGTGATGGAGGAGGGGGAAAATGTTGTGTGAGAAAAACAAAATTTTTTAGCCGATTTCAAAAAGAAATTGCTAGCCTTCATTGATAAAACATTATTCATGTAATGCTTATATCATTGTCATACAGCCATTGCGACTGACTCGGGTATACTTTGTCTCTGGCTTGGCTATTGCAGCTTGATTCAAACTTTATTTTAACTAGTACCTCGAGTTTTTTTTTAATCTTTAGTTTAAACAGTCAACAGAAGTTTAATTTAGAGATCACAATATCAACATTATTTAGAGTGAGATAAACATATATCAAATAACTCTGTTATCTATACTTTTTTCTGTTTGTCTTAGATAGTAAAACGTCTGTGTTCCACAGCGTCATCAATTATATATATATATATATATATATATATATATATATATATATATATATATATATATATATATAACTAAATATATATGAAAAAGTAATCGTATCCACAAATCGGACAAAGTGCTGAGAGTACGTTAGTAGCAGCGATACGTAAGCTTGATAAATTTACAACGTATGTAAAGAGTTGAGTTCAAGAAAATATCTTCTTTTCGGGAAATTGACTTAATTTATTCGATGAACTTTCGCTATGGCTTATAGTAATATATCTTGCCCTCTTGATGCGCGGGGAACTTAATTGCTTTTAGTTGCGCGTATCACTACAAAGAGGACTTGATCTGTGTCAGAAAACTAATACGGAATCAGTTCAACCGGGTAACCATTGTAACATTGTCAGAATGTATCGCACTAGTTGACCTCACTGATGTTGACCGGAGATCAGATGTTATATCAGATGTTGACCACAGGTCAGATATTATCAAATTGTTGACCAGAAGTCACATATTATCACAAATTTTGACCAGATATTAGATATTATCACAAGGGTTGTCCTCAAATTCAGGTTAACTTCAAACATCTTTAAGTGATTATTACCAAACTAAGTTTTATGTATAATTTAATTTTATTAAAAAACCTTGTTAATCTTGACATAATAAATTTGCACAGTATAAAACAAACGGCAAAAATAAAGCTTTAGAGTGAGTTTTTATGTATAATTTGTTAAACCATTCGTAAACAGAGAACAACTGTATGGAATTACCCAAAAAGTATTCAATCGAGACGCAAACGCGTTAACCAATTCACACAAATATGAAATCTTTTAAGGGCATCAAACAAATAAATATTGAAATAGTAGGCTTCATTAAATAAATAAATTAAGTTTTTTTTTCTATTGATTTTATCATGTGACATGAAAATTTAGTTTCCCAATCATCTTTTTTTTCTAAAGGTCTGCGTGGTGGTGAATAGCCCCACTACTCTAAATTTCTAAATTTGAACTATTTGTAAACTGACCATTCTTCCACCCACAAAAGATGCCCATCTCTCTTATGGGATAGCTGTATTGTTCAGACAGCTTTTTCAATATTTAGCATTTAACTGAAGCTATAAATATTATATCTTAATAGTAAGTGGGTTTTTTTCAAAATGGTAAACGTTTTATTAGTTTTCTACACGATATTTATTAGTCTATTGTTCGTGCTATGAATTAAAATATATTTCCTTACTTGTTTCGTGCTTCGCTCTTTGAAATTACGATTCGAATCCACTAATCGTTAAAGCTATAATTATATCAACAGGAGTAAACTAAATCTTCAACAAAAAAAGTTTAGAAAGATTACAAGCACAATCGAACAAGTAATAAAACATTGGATGTGAGCTGTACCTAGAATAGAGCCGCATGTAGTGGATTTAGCTATACTTCAACATGAATACGAGGAGAGCTGGACATCACAGCTTACTTTTCTTTCTTGTTTTTTTAGACCAAGTATTAGATTAGGAGAAATAATACAGGAAATGCTCGGTACTTTTCAATTTTTTTAGAAATAAAACGAATGTTCTGACTTTAAATCCCCTGAACCCAAATCCCTACAACTTTCACATTATGAAATGCCTGAGATTTTTTTTTAAAACACGTAACTTAAATTTATTACAGTTTTTATAGCAGTTTTATTTCCGTAATATCTTGTTGGTTTAGCTTGTCACACAGTATTTTGTTGCTGACTGTTGTGTAGCCTGACTTATCTACTAACAAAATGATATTAGCTAGTCTAAAGATACAAAAATAATCTCGATGATAGCGACATATTTTGGTCTAGAGTTAACAAGCACCAGAGCAGATGGTTCGCACGATTAAATTGGTGAGCACGGGGCGGGGAGGGGGTGAATGTAATCGATGTATCCTTACGTCTGATTGGTTATTGCTTGTTCCGATGGGGTCACGTGGCTTCATACACGCGCGAGCATAATAAACCGTCGATGTAAAATTTTGAGTCAGTTTTATTTTATTTCAATTCATGTGCTTTCATATTTTTCATGTGAAATGAAAAAACAAAACGGTTTCGTGTTGGAAAAAAAGATAATGCCATTAATAGAATAAAATATTTTTTAAATTAAAAGTCTTTCATTATTTTAATTTTCGATATTTGAAGTATGCTACACATATTTTAATAATGGTTTATATTCTTCAATTCGACGTACTCCCTTTACAAAATAATAAAAATGCACGTGTGGTCTACCGATGTTTAAATTGAAAGCTTCAACGTAAAAATTTGACTTAAAAAATGATTCGAGTTCTCCGTCGATCCCAGTGGAAGATTGGAGTTTTTCTGTGTTGTGCCTTGGTGTGTATGTATCTCTACTGGTTCCCACAGTCCGTGCTAGACTTGAGCACCAGAGATGTAGCCATAGCTAAAGGCATTCAGGTAAGGTCGGCAATGGTAGTTGATTAACGCTTAAAACATTATTAATATTAGAAATTTTTAAATTTTGATTAACCTATTTTAATTACCTAGGCAATTTTAATTTATTATTTTTAAAATCATTATCCATTACGTAAAGATATTTAATTCTTGGTGAAACTATTTTTGGTAAGATCTTTGTCTGTGAATATTTCCAAAATTTTCGTGTCTTGATATTTTGATCAGATTCCGTTTCTCCACGACACTACCGGATGTAAAGCAAACCACAGCTTTGTCCAGGCTGACGAGATGGTCAAGAAATTTCGTGAGATTCACAAGCCTAAAAGATCCATTTATTATTTAGACGATGATGAACCTTACATGAAGCTCATCAAAAGGTTAAAACTGTTCAGAAAGAGAGGACTGTCTATTGGTCGATATTTTAATCTCACTGGGTAAGTTATGCTCTATTATACGTCGTTAGACTGTTATGTTTGTTCTCTCTATTCGGTGGTTAGACTTTTATGTTTGTTCTCTCTATTCGGTGGTTAGACTCTTGTTTGTTCTCTCTATTCGGTGGTTAGACTGTTATGTTTGTTCTCTCTATTCGGTGGTTAGACTGTTATGTTTGTTCTCTCTATTCGGTGGTTAGACTGTTATGTTTGTTCTCTCTATTCGATTGTTAGACTGTTATGTTTGTTCTCTCTATTCGGTGGTTAGACTGTTATGTTTGTTCTCTCTATTCGGTGGTTAGACTGTTATGTTTGTTCTCTCTATTCGGTGATTAGACTGTTATGTTTGTTCTCTCTATTCGGTGGTTAGACTGTTATGTTTGTTCTCTCTATTCGGTGGTTAGACTGACCCCAGAACCAGGACTATAGTAGAGATCAAGTTTCAATACAAACGTAATTAGTTTAGCCATGAGGTGTTAGATATCTCGCTCATCAGATTAACGTAAGCACATAAAGTGCAGCCGATTTAATCAAATAAATAACAAAGGAAACAAATGTTTGCGCAAGTTATTAAATTAATAGTATTTTACTTTTCAATTGCGCTGCAATTACTTTTCTATGGACTTTTAGATATTCTAATTAAAATGTAAATTGGTTAGAATTTTAACCCACTAAGTTTATAAGACTTCAGGGTAGTGTGTGTCGGTATTGAACGTAACTTTTTAACCAAAGGTTAATGTTTTGTGTGCAGATATCTGGGTGATATAAGTAACACTCCTCACAAAAAAAATAATGTTCTAAGCTGGATATTTACTCTTTTTCAGAATCTTATCCCATTTTTAACATGTCTTCGCAAAACCAACATCTTTTACTATTCTACTACAAATCTGGCTATTAAAAGTGAAACTAGTTTAAAATTCCATTGTGTTTCTCCCACGCCGATTTGAAAGATCAATGCACACATGTGAACCGGATCAAATCAAACGTGACACTATGACCTGTAGTTGACCTTTACTCTATTGTAATCCTCTTACCAACAGTTGTTATAACCCTTTGTTAGACGATTTAGATTAAGCTTTAGATTAGGTTATTAAAAGGTCAGACACGTGTAAACACGACAATATTTTTTTCACTCTTCAGCAACAGCAGCTGGCAGAGATTCCAAAGAAACATCAACCAGTATTACCTGTACGACCCTGACCAAGACAACATTGTCGCTGATTTGTTGAACGATTTAAGCAAAAGGACTATTGTTGCTACAAGTAATCCTTACTTTTAGAAATATTTCTTTTTGTTTTCATTTGCTTTAACGTTACTTTGTTATTTTCTTTTTTAAATAGATGTATTTCCTTTTATTGCTGATTTCATAAATGTTACATCACTGAAGTTATAAGTACGTAAATATACATGTTTTCTAGGGTGCAAAAGGTCAAGCACACACTTGGCACTTTTAATGACCTTTGACAATGGTGGTCAAGCAGTGTTCAAGGCCATTAGGTGAACTTGTTTATTATTTAAAGATTTGACGTATATTCGATCTCATGCCTAGTGTGTACTTAATGAAGTAAAATATATTTATATGCATGAGCTTCCGCCTATGTTTTATGATAAGCGAAGGTTGCTATAGTTACTTTTTAAGTTCAAAGATTATTTCGGAATTGAGTGTTTAAAACATGGGTAGCTATAGTTATAACAGTTTTAATCTGGTTAAAGTGGGTATTCAATGACTTAGCGTGTTTGGTGGTGATGTGAAAACGGACAAGACAGAGCTGAATTTAAAAAAACCTCATGAAGACGCGAGGTGTTGAGAAAGAGCGAAAAACAGGTTGTAATATGTTTTACATCATCACAATCAATATGGGATAGTGTTTCTATTTTTGCATTACTACAACCTCGCTAAAAAAATTACTCTTTAGTTTGGAACATTTAACCTTTTTAAAATGTCTTATCAGGTCGTAATTTCAGGTTATAATTCTACTTAAATGATTTTTACCCGTACTAATTTTTCAATAACTTAGACCATATTAAATTATTTTTTACTGTAATTAGTTGTAAGCATGTTACCTTCTACAACAGCCACTTACAATGTAAGCAGATTTAAGCATGACTGCCCACTTCACAATGTTTGTTAAACACTTTATTTACAGCTAATACAATAAAACTGTTTAAGAGACTGGCTTAAAACGTTTTACCTTCACCCCTCTACGACTGAAAAAGCAGCTTTTTAAATGATTGAAACCAAATTCAGAGATTAAAACAAGTGATTTATTAGTCGATTCTATATTGTTCCCGTTTCTGTTCAATAAATAAACACGTTGCATTAAGTTATAAAATATTATGCAATTTAACATTCTTGGTGATATGATATTTTCTGTAATACAAATCTGTGAACTTGTGATCCGTTTGTTTCAGATTGCCCAAGTACTCAGAATCCCCTCTCAACAGTTTTTACTTTAGCGACATAGAGCGTCCTACGGCTGAAATAGCCGCCTTTCATCTTGACATGTAAGTTACAAGATGTTACACAATTTACAATGCTCTACCTTTTAACAAATGTATGCACATTCTTTAAGTAAATAGTTCAACATGCAGGACAAGGCTTCGTTGTTTGGTTTCACTGTAATAAAGTCTCCATGTCAAGATAGGAAATTCTCTGTTCTATGTGACAGGCTATTGGCGTTTTATCGAGCGCCTCCTACAGTCGGCAGGGTGATCAATATTTCTAGTGATATCATCATGGTTGGTGATGAGGACATCAAGAGAACGGCACATTGGTCTCCAAGTAATCATTTTATTACAACTGATTGTAATACGTTGGTAGGGTAGAACTTAATGTTTTTAATTTTAAATACCTCAGTGATGACCCTGTGAAATGAAACTACTATCTCTTGATTTCGTTACAATAAATGTGCTTGCACGTGGTATTCTCTTTAATCTTCTTCTCGTCGGCTTGAATTAATTAAAATCTAATTATAAGTGTAATAATAACATGGAACAGACTACGTATTTCAATTAGCTACTGACGTGAGACAACCTCATGTTTCAGCTGACAACTTGTGTTTTGTGGGGAAGTGCAAGGATTACTGTGTGCAAGGCTACGCTGTGTGTGGCAGTCCATATCTTCTGGAAGGTTCACTTTCGGCATATCTCCCAAACAGGTCGCTAGATGACGCGATGCACCACTTCCACAGTCCTTATGCCGGTTCCTATAGCTACCGAAACAAAGTAAGTTACGTTTACCGTGATGTGGAAACTATGTTTTATTCATTACATTTTTGTCAATTATTTAACGAGCAAATAGCTTTTATAGCAGGTTCTATATTTGTACTGCTGTTTAAGAACTAGTGAAGCTTTGGTTAATTTCTCCCCCAATCTACTGAATGACTTTCTATACACATGTTAGAACTGAACCTTTATACATGTCGTGTTTCAGGCTAAGTGGGAGAATAACGACACGTACTGTGACCTTGAACTTAAGACAAAACCCTTCTACAATGGCAGGGCGTTGTTCGATCAGGTTGATATGGCCGTCTTTGACTTTTTGCAAGGTAAATCATCCTTTTCTAGGTGTAAAACTTAATTTTTTGCAAATTTACCAACACTACCCTCGGCTAAACTGTATGAGCATTGCTGGTATAGCATGTTGGCCGCTACGTCAAGTTTATTTTTTAGCTTATAAATAAACGGTAGGTAGGAGACTAAGTCATTGATGTTTAATTTTACAGGCAACATGGATCGTCATTCATTTGAGACATTCAAGATGTTTGGAAATGACACTTTCTTTTTACACTATGATAACGGTAGAGGGTATGTCCAATTTATGTTTAGCAATAAAGTAAATTAAAATAATTGCCAGCATTCGTGATGTTTTCGTTTTTTATTATTTCATATTTTTTTTGTCGTCTGGTTATATTTGCTTAAAATGATATACTGATCAATTAGTTTAAACTATTGTGTGCATGTATCTGCCTCGATTGGGTGATTATTAAAATAATATTATGAATTTTTTTTTCAACAGATTCGGCAAAAAAAAGTTGGACTATGTGTCACTTCTAGCTCCTGTTCGTCAATGTTGTAAAGTTCGGTTATCTACCCTTGCCAAGTTGGTTAAACTTTACACTGGACCAGACAGCCTCAGTCAACTACTTAGGACGTCATTAAGCTCCGACCCCTTAGCTCCGGTATTGGATGAGCTGTACCTAGACTCTGTTGACAGACGTGTTGGTCTAGTACTTAGTGCTGTGTATGATTGTGTCAATAGGACGGGATCCTGGGATCAAGTCATTGTTAACGATGGCGTTGTTTAACTTAAGTGATGTTACATTGTTAATAAACTTAATAATGTTTTATTTACAGCACATTTATGTTTGTATCATCATAAAAGTTAAAATAAGATGTAAATATAAATTATACTATTGTGTACATAGTTCTAAATAAATTAGAAGTTAAAGCTATTCCGTAGCTTAGCGATGTTTTGTTATGCACATAGAAATAACAATAAACTATTTAAATAAATGTTTTATTTTTCTTTGTAGTCGCAAATAAATGACGTCACACACTAACAGTAGAGTCGAATTTTTACCACTATATGTGACAAAAGAAAGTTCACAAATACGACGGCGTAATCTCTTAAAAAAAATTGTACCCTTATTACTAACAAGTTATATTTTTTTTACATTTTTCACAATTGTTTTATCCATTTTTAAAATTTGTATTTTTTACATTTTAAAAATAAGTGAGTCAACCTGTTGTTTCTCTAAGCCCAATAATCCAGTCGACTAGATCCTAGATTACACGACCATGGATCTGCTTAGTTTGACTAGATCCTTAGATTACACGATCATGGGTCTGATTAGCTTGTCGAAATCCGATTATATACCCTTTACACTCTGCCACACTGATCGGACTACTTGGCCTCGATAATAACAGAACATCAGTTTAACACTTTAGAATGACTTGTTGGGATAGTCACCAGCACAGTTTACGATTGTGTCGTTTTGACAGGATCCTGGGATCAAGTCATTGCTGTTGAAGGACTGGTATATATGATGTAGATGAAAACAGTGGCGTAGCTACCGTAAAGCTAGAGTAAGCAAGGCATAGGGGCCCAAGGAACACAGGGGCCCTTTTGTCTCCTCTGTCACAGATTTGGTTGTAAATAAGTTTACAAAAAAACAATTTTCAATACTTTGGCCATGAAATTTTATTTTTCTGTCCGTTACTTATATTTGCAGTAAAATAACATTTCTAATCATGTTCTTTTGTTGGTGGTTTTTAATGACGAATCGAATTCGCTAACCATTCAAAGTTTAGTTATGCAAAGATGAAAAGAAGGAAAAAAAACTTTTTATAAAGTCTCTGTTTGAAACGCTTTAAAATTGTAAAACTATATATCATAGAGGAAGTTCTTTCCAAATGGGATTTTTCAATAGGACTGGAAATCTATGAACAGCGTGTGTGCAGGCATCTAAGTGGAAACTGACCGTACTTAAGCTAATTAATACCTGTAATTGATCACTTACGTAATTTTTTTTTTCTCTAATCAATTATTTATTACTAGAGGGGATTAGAGTACAATTCACTGAAAGTAGAAAGATTACAAGCAAAGTCCAGCAATTTTTTTAAAAATTTCTATGCGAGCAATGTTTGGATCCGGGGTGCATGTTGTGGATTATGAGAAAAAATTGTATGCTAATCTAAGGTTAGCTTGACATCAGCGGTTGTTGGTTTTTTTTTTCATTCTAGCATTTAGCCCTGGTTGTTAGTAAATAAATAAGTCTAGAAATGGATTATTCTAGTGCATGGATTGTTATAGTGTCAAATGTACAGCCTTCCCCACCACGCCATTTAGATTGTTTTTAGTTTTCCCCACCCCAATGGCTGGTGTTAACGTTCAAACGTGTGTGTGCCCAGACAATTTACGTTTATAGTTGGCTGCTTGTCCCACTAAGGTCACGTGGCTTTAAACATGCCCGAGTATAGAAAGCAGCGTAGACGATGTTACCTTTTCAGTCAGAATTATCATTTTTAAACGGTTGTACTTTTGATGTTTAAAAAACAGTTGCGTGCTCATAGATAGATAATTTCATTCATCGAACAACCTTTAATTACATACACACTTGCTTTTTTACTGTTTTAATAAAATTCGTTTGGAATTTTTAATAGCTTTATTTTCATTTTTAAGTAACTAAAACAATATGGAATCACAAAACAATTTGAAGAATCATGTGTATTTATCAATGTTTGATTAAGCATTGATCAATTAAACAATTTTTAAATGTGTGTTAAATATTTTTTTCATTTAATTTTGTTTAAATTATAAATACTAATGTTAAAAACTGTAATTACTTTTTTATGGAAACTACAAAAATTTAGGCCTAGTTTATAATAAATATAAAGTAGAAAATATAATGTATAAGGCATACATATAAGGCACACATCATTAAATTTATTTCAGCTGATTAGCGGAGAAGATTTTTATTTTCTTACATTTATTTTAGTTAATTTTCTAAACAGTGGACCCTTCATTTTCTAGTCGATTGCTGACGTCACTGGTTCACACTTAATTTCTCTTTTGAAAATTTATCTGATAAAAAAAACGTTTTTTGAAAATAAAAATAAAAACTAATATTAAAATAGAATTACTTGAATTTTGATTTTTTTTCCAAATGACATCTTATAGTATTTATAGTTTAAAAGTATAAATACTATCAATAATACTTATTTCACACAAAAGCAAATTAAAAACAAAAAAGAGCAAAATTATTCTAAACATCCAAAATGTAATTTATTTCAACACAAAAATGATTCATTTTATATTTTATGTTGACGATGTATTCAAAATCATATTGTAACATATATATGTTCATGCACCTTCTATTTAAGTATAAGAAAGTTTTCTCATCGAACACCATCATCAACAATAACTTCATCCCAGGACCCCGTCCTATTGACACAATCATACACTGTGCTGATGACTAGACCAACACGTCTGTCTAAGGCGTCAAGGTGAGGTTCTGTTAATATCGGAGCTAAGGGGTCGGAGCTTAATGACGTCCTAAGTAGTTGACTGAGGCTGTCTGGTCCATTGTAAAGTTTAAACAACTTGGCAAGGGTAGATAACCGAATTTTACAACACTGACGTACAGGGGCCAGACATGGTAGACAGTCGTATTTCGCTTTACCGAACCTAAACAAATAAACATACATAAAAAGTGTGAAGTAGATAGAAGAAAAAAGTGAGAAATTATGTAGCAGCTTGCATGTTGGGACAGTTAATCAATAGATCAGCCTAGTTAGGTAATGAGTAATAATTTAATCGTGCTTTGGGTAGCTACAGCAACGTTTTAAGAGATATGCTTAAATTTATGATACTATGTAGGAATTGATTATTCTAATATTCTTCAAAATGTGAACACATTTTCTCACCCTCTGCCGTTATCGTATTGAAGAATAAACGTGTCGTCGCCAAACATGTCGAACTTTTCAAAATGGTGTCTGTCCATGTTGCCTACAGTTTTTGAAACATTTCAATGTAAGTACATTTTAAAAGCACATTTTAGTAGTTACATGGCACATTTCAGCTAACTGATCATCCAATAGAAAGTTACCGGTCAGAAAGTCAAGGACAGCCATGTCGATGATGTCCAGCAGTAGCCTCCCCTGGAACTTGGTGTCCGGTTTCACGACCGTTTCACAGAACGATTCATCTGTTTCCCACGTGTTCTACAACATATAACAATATATTACATTCAACATACAACAGGACAATGGTTTTAGAACATATAACATACAAGAGGATAATGGTTCTACAACGTATGAGAAGAACAATAAACTATATTTGCTAAAAAGAATTCGCCGTCTCTTTCCAAATGACAACTCCTTTACAAATCGCAAACTTTTACTGAATGAATCCGTCTTTCCTTCTTTTAAATTGTAAATGTCTATCTAAAGTACTAAGCATAGCCAACAAATTATTTTCATTAATAAACTATTCTAGACTTGAGCTACTTAATCTCTAGAGTTGTGTTAAATTAGATTACATTTAGATAAATGAGACACAACGATAAGGCCATCTTTTAAATATGTAGTCCTGGATAGATTTACTCAGAAGAGTTTCACATCAAGCTTGCAGAATCGAGTGTGCAGATACTAGAGGGTAGAACAGATACGTACCTGTGTGTAGAGCACACACAGGTGAGTGGTGCTATATAACAGTGAGTCGAGTAGGTACATACCTGTGGATGGAGCAGGTACCTACCTGTAGATGGAGCATGTACATAACTTTGGTTGGAGCAGGTACATACCTGTGACTGGAGCAGGTACATACCTGTAGATGGAGCAGGTACATACCTGTAGATGGAGCAGGTACATACCTGTAGATGGAGCAGGTACATACCTGTGAATGGGGCAGGTACATACCTGTAGATGGAGCAGGTACATACCTGTAGATGGAGCAGGTACATACCTGTGAATGGGGCAGGTACATACCTGTAGATGGAGCAGGTACATACCTGTAGAGTAAGTACATACCTGTGGATGGAGCAGGTACCTACCTGTAGATGGAGCATGTACATAACTTTGGTTGGAGCAGGTACATACCTGTAGATGGAGCAGGTACATACCTGTGACTGGAGCAGGTACATACCTGTAGATGGAGCAGGTACATACCTGTAGATGGAGCAGGTACATACCTGTAGATGGAGCAGGTACATACCTGTAGATGGAGCAGGTACATACCTGTAGATGGAGCAGGTACATACCTGTAGATGGAGCAGGTACATACCTGTAGATGGAGCAGGTACATACCTGTAGATGGAGCAGGTACATACCTGTGAATGGGGCAGGTACATACCTGTAGATGGAGCAGGTACATACCTGTAGATGGAGCAGGTACATACCTGTGAATGGGGCAGGTACATACCTGTAGATGGAGCAGGTACATACCTGTAGATGGAGCACGTACATACCTGTAGATGGAGCACGTTGATACCTGTGGATGGAGTAGCTACATACCGGTGAGTTCGGAGAATACAGCCTCGTCCAAGGATTCCCCACGTTATTGCTCGTCCCATTCAGTTTCCTATGTGGCAGGTATGCCATGACCGCGCCTTCGATAAGGTGCGGACTCCCGCACAACGCGTTGCCATGGAAACAGTAGTCTTGACACTTTCCAATAAAACAAAAATTTCCAGCTATATGAAAAGATTTAAACACAAATCAGTGGCGTTTGTTTGATTTAACCAAGTTAATGGTGCTTGTTTGATTTGACAGAAGCAAATCCAGTTGCGGTACAACTGACAAACACAAAAATACCTCACAACCCCCCCCCCCCGACACATACACACACACACAAACGCCTAAGCACAGGGTTTTTTTCTTGCAGGTCATGTGACACTATCTAAAATAAAAAATAAATTGTTGTATTGTTTATATTGACGTTATGTTATACTTTATTGATGTTTCCTTGCAGGGGAGTGTTATGATACTCAGGTACGGGAATCAAGCATTTTTTATCAAACCACAAAGATAATAACATAACTCCAACTACAATCATACTTAACACATTTTCAACAAATACTGTCCAGAGATACTTAGTTGTTTTGGAAAATATTTTTACAAGTAAGTAGATTAGCTATGAACCAGATCCCCAACACAATGCTCATTAATTTTATTTCTTCCATTTCTCTACAAATATGCTTATTTTATGGCATTACTGTAATAGATAAAATACGTTTTACACCCCGTTGCATAACTATAAAATTGATACTATGTTCAAAATGAGTTTACTATTGAATGTAAAATGTAGCAGTAGGAAATGGCTTGAAGCGTTTTACCCGGCGATCTGTGGGCAGTCTTTTGAATGTGCTGGTCTCCCACTTGTACAATGTCTCGCGTGATGTTGACCACTCGTCCCACAGTAGGGGGCACGCGGTTGTAGGCCAGTAGTCTGGGAAACAAGTTTATCATAAAATTTATATCAGTAGGGGGCACGCGTTTGTAGGCCAGTAGTCTGGGAAACAAGTTTATCATAAAATTTATATCAGTAGGGGGCACGCGTTTGTAGGCCAGTAGTCTGGGAAACAAGTTTATCATAAAATTTATATCAGTAGGGGGCACGGGTTTGTATGCCAGTAGTCTGAGAAATAAGTTTATCATAAAATTTATATCAGTTGGGGGCACGCAGTTGTATGCCAGTAGTCTGGGAAATTAGTTTATCATAAAATTTATGTCAGTAGGGGGCACGCGTTTGTAGGCCAGTAGTCTGGGAAACAAGTTTATCATAAAATTTATATCAGTAGGGGGCACGCGTTTGTAGGCCAGTAGTCTGGGAAACAAGTTAAATTATTGTTCACGTGTCCAGGATCAATGAAATGTAGTCTGGTGTTATAAATAGAAAGATTGTCATTAAACTAAATAATACTTAGCAAAGCTAAAGCACATAACACACCGGTTAGTGTACAACTGTGTTCAGGTTTAACGTTAAGTTTAGCTTCCGCGTTGACGATCCATATTTTAAACATTAAAGCGGTTAGTCGTAAATTACTCTGGTTATTTTTGTAATCCTGGGCGATTTTCGCAGTATGTGAATGTTTGCTAATCAATGGAACCTTTAATTTTACTGGGTTGTTGAACATAATTCTAATCCTCGTTTCTTAAAACTAAAATGCTAATTATTGAACAGCTGGGCAGTGTTTTTGTAAACCTACACTACTGAGTCGTGTTAGCCTAAGCCTTGTATTCAATTATATATTGTGAAAGTGGTTTTATCCGTGCCGTGTAAAATCTTGTGTAACGTCTTATAGTTGTTGTTTTCTCGGTCGTTGTTTGTTGTCATCAAACATATTTTTAATGTCGTTACTGTTTTTCCCTTTTATGGAATAACGTTTTCCCTTTTTATGGACTATCGTTTTTCCTTTTTATGGAACAAGAATTACGATAAATTTAATTTGGTTCTGGATTTTTTAAAAAAACTTACTTAACTAGGTTACACGTTGCATTTGATACATGTAAACTATATAGTAAAACTATGAACATATACCTGTAAAAATTGACTTACTTGTCCAGATGGAAAGCTGCTATTTCTGCTGTATGACGCTCTATGTCGCTGAAGAAAAAATGATCAGGCTTGGTTTCATAGTCCCTGGGATTCCTGCAATGTAGAAAAGTGTCTGATGGAATAAATGTAACAGGCACGGTGTGAATGACTGACTGCCAATCTTCCACTTCCTGGAGTGTCTAGTGGAATATTTAGTACAGCTGAAGTAGAGTGAAACCGTGCTCGATGTTTTGATATAACTAGAGATTTTTATGTTCTCAAATTTTTATAGCTGTAGTGTATTGATCTCTTTTCTATACATACCCTTAATCGTTTGATTATGCTTACATGCATTTATTATGTTCGAGATTTTCGAGTGATTGTACAAGCACTGCATCACACATTTAATATCTTATCATGAAGTTCTTCCAAGCTAGCTCAGTTTACCCCAAAAATACGTGAATGTATCTGGTCCTAAAAAAACCTACAATATTTTAACTGCTTAATCAGTTTCGTTGCTATTACAAAAGGAATGACCAAGGTTTAGAGCAATCAGCATAAAATCCAGATAAAGTTGCTGTAAATTATTGCAGTCTTAAGATTACAGATATGTTTGTTTACACTTCCGCGGTGCAACGAATGGCTTTGATATATTACTAGGCTGGTGGACCTGAGAAAATATTTACTCTTTAAAATGAATTCATTTGCTTTCTGGATTATTTTCGCTTTTGAAGTATTTAGTACAACAGGTCAGACGGTGAGCTAAAGCTTACAGTTGGTGCTGGATGTGATAGATAATGTATTTTAAACCCTTGGGTTACGTTAGTGTGTCATACAAACAATTCATTGTGGTTAGATTAGGACCATTGAATACTACAGTGGTTATTACATTAGGTGAGTTCAGTGGTCATTACATTAGTTCAGTTCAGTGGTCATTACTTTAGGTCAGTTCGGTGGTCATTATATTCGGTAAATTCAGTGGTCATTATATCTGGTCAGTTCAGGAGTCATTAGACCCGGGTTATGGGGAGGATAATTACTTTAAGCCTGTTGACTTAAACGTTCTGCTACTTTTATATGTTGATGAGCTTTTAGTGAAATGTTTACATAGCCAGCTCACAAGAACGGATGACTTCCTTCTCCGTCCCCACCCCTGGCTAGGGTACACTTAATAACTTCCTTACCTACCTCATGGGCTTAAAAACACCTTGACCCCCATCGTCGAAGGTGAAGATCAAAACCAGCTGGGAGCTCAGAGGATTGCATTCTGTTGACAGGAATAGAAAAACATGATATGACATGTTGTACTGACAAGTTATACGTAGAATGTCGTACTGTGTACAGAGTATGGGAGCTGCGTACATTGTAAATTAGTGAAAATTGTAGGGACAAGTTGTATGACTGTTACTTCTCTGACAGATGAGGCTGTCAAGGACAACCCACTGATAGACCCTGTAGGATAGACCAGGATAACCCACAGATAGCCCCTCTAGGATAGACCAGGATAACCCACTGGTTGTGAGGCTAAAGTTACTGTATGACCTGCGTGAGTTATCGTCCTTTTGTTCAGGTACTGCAGCAGGTCTGTGAGGGTGGTGCCATCTTCAGGGTCGTACAGGAAGTGCTGGTTGATGTTTCTCTGGAACCGTTGCCAGGGGGCGCTCCTACACAAAGAATGTTTGAAGTGAGGTGGTCCAGGTAACTCACATACAGGAAGTTAAAATATCAGGTGGGTCTAGTTAATTCACAGACAGGAAGTTTAAATATCAGGTGGGTCTAGGTAACTCATTCCCTTCTCCAACATACCCCTCAATAGTAAAATATTTGCTAATTGTATCTCCTTTTATCCGTCCTACTCTCAGCCGCTTAATGAACGTGTCGTATGTGACGTCATCATCCAGATGGTACGGGCTGTCGTCTGGTCCGTGCTTTTGACGAAATATGCTAATTAGCAGGTCAGCTGACTCCCGGCTGTGGTTTGCCTTACAACCTCTACCCAGCCCGAAAATTTGACTCTGTTTAAAGCAAAGAGTTTACAAGTTTAGAAACATTCGAGTTAAGTTTCTATTTTTGTTGGTATCAAAAACGAAAACCTTTAACAACTTAAAACAATGTTTCCTGTGAATAAATGAATGCGCTTAAATTAATCAATACTTTGAAGGAAACGAACAATGCAACTCATAGCGTGTGTAGGGAAGGGAGACGACAATGCTTCAGCTCCAAAACATGAAGGGATACGAGCTAAACCTAGATAGAGCGAGATTCCTGAGAATCGAAGCTAAGTTTTCTCCTCATTTTGTGTACATCGTGTCGCTATCGATGTATTTCACTTCTCATCCTACTTTTGTCACAGTATTTAATTAATTGAAATAATATCGGTATTTACATTGCTGAAGAGAGTTAGTATGTAAATAAAATCTTCCAACTCACGTGCAAGTACCATAACGTGCAAATATCTAAGAAATCGCGTGCACGTATGTACAAATAACGCTCACGTATGTACCACTCGCGTGCACATATCTAACAACTCACCTGCAGCTTCTGCACGTACGAGTCACTCACCACCTGAAAGTAGCTGAGGCCACCACGTGACAGGTAGAGCGGTACAAGGGTGAGCAGACACAGACATATCACCACCATTCTACACCGCTTTAAGGCTCGTATCATTTGGATGGCTCGCATCACTGGATGGCTCGCGTCACTTGATTACTTGTAAATCAAACAACTGCTTGATGGTATTTTAACCAAGTAAAGATATCTTATTGTCCAACAAATGTTCAGCACATAAATCCAGCCAATTGCTCAGCAAACGAGGTGAAATATTTTGCGTTAAAGTCAAACACGCGTAGGCCAAAACTAATCATCCGCCTGTTGCTTTACAATGCTAATGCTAGAATTCTCACCTGTAGGTCACACACAGCTAAGCCTTCGATTGACCAGTGAGCTGAACTAATCCGCGTTGTTTACATAAGTACAGGGGCGGTGGCTATTGGAAATTAAATAAACTGCGATGTAGAAAAATATATCCTTCGATTCGATAAAAGACATTAGTGGTGTAGGTGTGGTGCACTTGAGGCTACTGCTGCACTACAGGCTACTGGTGCACTAGAAACTACTGATGCACTAGAAACTACTGATGCACTAGAAACTACTGGTGCATTACATGCTACTGGTGCACTACAGGCAGCAACCGCTGTCTAAAGTCTAAGTCTGTACAATTTAAAGATCCAAGATGTACTTAAGTATTTTTCTGCAAAGACTTGTTAGAGACAGACTCAGTGATCTAGTGTCATGACAGTCTCCGAAAGCCTGTCACTATATGACAGTCTTAGCCAGCCTCTCACTAGATCAGGTCAGTCTTAGTCAGCCTCTCACTAGATCATGACAGTTTTAGTCAGCCTCTCACTAGATCAGGTCAGTCTTAGTCAGCCTCTCGCTAGATCATGACGGTCTTAGCCAGCCTCTCACTAGATCAGGTCAGTCTTAGTCAGCCTCTCACTAGATCATGACAGTTTTAGTCAGCCTCTCACTAGATCAGGTCAGTCTTAGTCAGCCTCTCGCTAGATCATGACAGTCTTAGTCAGCCTCTCACTAGATCATGACAGTCTTAGTCAGCCTCTCGCTAGATCATGACAGTCTTAGCCAGCCTCTCACTAGATCATGACAGTTTTAGTCAGCCTCTCACTAGATCATGACAGTTTTAGTCAGCCTCTCACTAGATCATGACAGTTTTAGTCAGCCTCTCACTAGATCAGGTCAGTCTTAGTCAGCCTCTCACTAGATCAAGACAGTCTTAGCCAGCCTCTCACTAGATCAGGACAGTCTTAGTCAGCCTCTCACTAGATCAGGACAGTCTTAGTCAGCCTCTCGCTAGATCATGACAGTCTTAGCCAGCCTCTCACTAGATCAGGTCAGTCTTAGTCAGCCTCTCACTAGATCATGACAGTCTTAAACAGCCTCTCACTAGATGAAGACTGCATCTCGCTGAGTCTCACTTCAGGAGAAAAAAACAGACCAAGAACACACCCTGGACAGATTCAAAACAGAATCTGATATTCTCTTATGGACCCAAACAGACCCAAGTACACACCCAAGACAGAGTAAAAATGAGCATTGCAGACCTTCGCATAATTTTTATATGTTCATTTTTAAATTGTCACAAACCTTACCTGCAATGGTCATCGATGTAAATATTACTATTCTGACCATACACACAGACAGATTTCGTTAAATTCTGGTGGGTAAAATAATAATCCTTGCAATATTTAATGCAAGCCAAACAAAGAAAAAACGAAAACGATTTAGCGTGAGGATGAAAAGCCAGAATAAATGTATGTAAGGAAATCAATACAAATCATGTAGGCGAAAGCTACAGCTGTGGCCCTTGCGAAAATTCAATGCAACTTTTTACACCAATATAAATTATCAGATTTATTCTACTTCACGTGATCATTCTATTTTTTTACCAATCTATTGTTGTGATACTTTGGGAAATTGTTGAGAACACTGACGGGACGGTTTCTGGGATTTAAACATTAGGAATGGCGTCATCGAGGTGGGAGCGTGAAGTTGCTCGCCCTAGGGTCAGCTCTCGTATACCAAAGCACTTGGGTTACGTTGGGCGTCACGCACATGGTGGGGGTCTGGGGTACTACTCGAATCAATGGACCAACTGCATCTGGGGTGTCGTCCTGCGCCCCGAAAGTTTTGTGTCAAAGTTATACCATGGGCGAGCGCCATGGCACATACACTTGTATTAAAGAACGCTATACAGTACGCATACTGTGTGCTATGACGTGTGTAATATAAGTATGAGAATAGTTGAGTGCGAGTGAATGTGGGTGCAAATAAATGAGGAATATATAGACTTATGATGTAAAAGATAGAGACGTTTTAGAAACTGGGTTGCTGTGGGATGAGCTTTGGTTTGCTTTGTCTGGGTGTTTGTTCAGAAAGGGAGGCTAGATCTGTGATCCTCATCTACGAGGTGAGAAAAGTCTGACACAAGAAAGAACAATTTACTTGTGTAACTCAACCATACGTGAATGTATGAATAAACTTTCAGCAAAATGCATGCGTCCTGTTAAGTGGTTGGTGTACCTTCACAACGCGGGGCTGCCAACCCTCATTATTAACACTGTGGCCTAAACACTGTGATGATTACAGCTGTGATGAAAGGCACACGGCACCCCTGCGGCGACGTTGAGAGGTGATCTACCTCACTCATGTGGGTGGTGATCGACGTACAATCAAGGTTTGCAAACAGCATACAATGGGCCAAAGGGTGGGCAAACTCGCGCACCAACAATAACAGATGGAAGAAATGTATTGCCGACATTGTTTACATTTCAATAACTCGAAACCTAAAAACTAGGATTTGTTGACGCAAACTGTTACACCGTGTTGATATTTAAACGGCACCTCACACAGAAGTGGGCACAGAAGTGCCGAACTTAGTAAATTAAATGACATTGTTCATCATCTTTAAATACTGAATTTTCCATTACAGTCTTTCTATTTTATTTTATAATGCAATTAGCATACGTCGATCCATTTAAAAAAAAACAAGCCAGAAAAAGAGATCAAGCCACCAAAGATATACCATTAACAACAATTGAATATGATTATTGTAAGTGACGTAGCATGAGGAATAACTGCGAAATTAAATGTTCAAGGTACGTAACCGAAGAAAACATATTTCTCATTCAGTTACAAAGTTACTCCTCACGTTTACGGGTGAAAGCAGCCTGTTGCCAACCTGAACATTAAGAGATGTGTGTGTGACTTCTTACAATTATGAAATGCACTAATGTACGTTATCTTCAAACGTATTCGCTTAAGATTATTTGGCGTGCAGTGGTCATTATGAATTAGTCATTACGTCATCTTGGAGCAATTCTCAGGAATCTTTCTTTTATTTTATCTTGGTGCAATTCTCAGTGGCGCCGACTCTTTCTTTTATTTTTCTTCGTTTTTAATTTTAATATATGATATTTCCTCCAAAATAATTAAGTATTGCGTGCCAAATTGTTATGCGCCATATAGGCGTTTATCAGTGGCGTGCAGAGGGGGTGCGGAGGGGGCCCAGGCCCCGGGCAGCCACATCAAAGGGGCATCCAAAGGGGGTAAAAAAAAATGTATTTTTTTTTTATTTTTAATTTTTTTTTTTTTTTTTTTTTTTTTTTTTTTTTAGGAAAGCTAAATGTCTACTAAGGTTTGTCTACCTAGGAAGAATTATCAAATTATCACAATTTGCCGAATACACCGAAATGTGTATATACAATCAACACATGGCACTGATATAGTCATCGTACTGTCCGTGTCGTACAACCTTCAGGGAGAAAGGGGCATCGGTGAAGGGTAGTGGTGTAGTAGTCATTGATATTCCCCGAAGAAATGTATGCAGTCTTTGAATTAATAGAGTATCTGATACTTGTGTAGGTAGGGGCATCTTTTAGAGAACACGCCCATAATCATTTTATACACTTGTGGTCATCCATAGAGTATTAAAGCCCATGATTATAATTTACACACTGTAGGGGCATCTTTTAGAGAACACGCCCATAATCATTTTATACACTTGTGGTCATCCATAGAGTATTAAAGCCCATGATTATAATTTACACACGGTAGGGGCATCTTTTAGAGAACACGCCCATAATCATTTGATACACTTGTGGTCATCCATAGAGTATTAAAGCACATGATTATAATTTACACACTGTAGGGGCATCTTTTAGAGAACACGCCCATAATCAATTTATACACTTGTGGTCATCCATTGAGTATTAAAGCCCATGATTATAATTTACACACTGTAGGGGCATCTTTTAGAGAACACGCCCATAATCATTTTATACTTTGTGGTCATCCATAGAGTATTAAAGCCCATGATTATAATTTACACACTGTAGGGGCATCTTTAATGTAATTTGCTTATATTCATCATAATACTTTTGAAGGGCATCCAAACAGTAATTATGCCCGCATTCATTTTATATATCGTCAGGGCAACTTTAAAGTAATTTACTTGTATTCACGTTTGTATTTATATAATTACAGCAATTATGCCCATATTCGTTTATATATTATCGGATATTTATTATGCTTATATTCATTATTGAATGTCTGAAGGGCATCCCTACAGTAATTATGCCCTTTTCGCTTCATATTTTATCGGGCATCTTTATTATGTTTCTATTCATTGCATAATGTTTGTAGGGCATCCTTATTCATTTTGATGGACGTAACGGCATTCGTAGACTGATTAAGCGCACATCCTCTTGGTTTTTTCTTATTCTAATGATATTCTTTATTCATGGCCATTTGGATTTTTGTGTACGGTTAAATACAAACTTTCAAGTCCGTACTGTTTTGATACACTGGGCCGGGCCGAGTTAACTTCATTCTAAAGTTGTCCTTAAGTCTCACACTTCTTAATTACCGGCATTCGCGGCCGCCCGGTCGTACTGTCCAAAAACACATAAATAAGGTGTAGCTGGCTGTCACTTGTTTCCCCCCCCCCCCCCCCTCACTTTAGGCACAAACCTTCTATTGTAAGACCGGTAATGTAATACCTAGACGCTCTATTGGCACGGCCAGAGATCCAGTAATGTAGTACTCGAATCTGGAGACTTTTTTTTGGGATGTTCCATCCCATAGCCATATATTTAAATGCACAGTCTGCGTGATCTTTCACCTCCCCCCCCCCCAACTTTCACCCACCCCAAAGCCAAAGCATCTACTGTCACCCACCCCTAAACCCAACACTACTGAGCGTTCTTATTACATTTGAGAGACATTTCTCTTGGATTCTATAGCCGAAAACGGTGTTTTTCCCACAATTCGAACTAATTATATAAAGTGTCCAAATCTGTCAATGGTTTCCTATTTGTTTTAATTTTAACCACTGATGCTTGTTGATATTGTAATTTGTCTAAAATTGTGTGCTTACTAACACTGTCTCTTTATATAACATACCTAAACGCATGACTTTTATTCTAACCACTGGCCATTGAACGAACAATTTAAACCGCTTTATTGCATTAGAGCGATTTTCGAATAATTTATTTTATTTTTGCTTGTGATTAAAAGGGCATTTGCAGATGAAGTAAGCCCGTATTATTTTTAGATAACTTGTAGGGGCACCCAAGAGAATTTATTCGGTTTTGATGCATATGAATATACTAAAGAATAAGAATGTCCGTATTGTTTCTGAGACACTGTAAGGACACCCTCAAGAATAAGCATCAACAGATTTTTAATATACATTGTAGTGATATCATTTCAAACAATTGTGCCCATTTTATTTTTTATCAATTGTAGGGCATACTAAAAGTTGTGTTAAAGTATTTTAATGCAAAGTAAAGTTATCTGTAAAGTAAATGGGCGCTTAAATAGAACTGATGTTATAAATAGTAGAGCCACCTGTAAAGTGAGTCCACGTTGATTTAATGAATTGTGGGAGTTATAACGACCCTGGTAGCCGTTACTGGATTTTTCCCACACAGGGTTTGCATATGAATACTTGGGGCCTAGAGCCGACCATTAAGTGCGGGCCCCAAGTGTAGCGATACTAAAATTCTATCAAACATCGACAATGCGCACAAGCAGAAATCGCTGTGCTCTATGACTAGAATCGATATTTTCTCAATGTATCGAGTTAAGACGAGACGCTTTATTCCTACGTATCCGACTACTTCGACGTACGAGACAAGACTAGCATTTTTTAGGTCCGTAACTAGTACAGGCATCCAAAAAAAATACACCTACATTGGTCAGAATACAATAGGGTATCCCAAATTTACATACCAGGTACAAGGGGGTGGAGGGGGAGGGGGAAGGGCTCACTCAATCAACCCATCGCCAGCCACCAAACAATCACCCGGCGACCGTGGTTCTCTTCCCTGCACACGAGGTGTGCCACCAATGTGTTTCTATAAAATACAGCATTATTCAAGTTCGAGATGGGGAGGGGGGGGGGTAACTTACTAGGCCTAACATCAACCGTGGCCTCAGTCGTAGCAATAAACAATGGCGAACTTTGACCTTTTAGTTTTTTTCCAATTTAATTCAACGGTGACCGCAGCCCGACCCCGGTAGGGTAATGGAAACTGTAAATTCTTTTGTTGGGCTTGGCATATAGCCCCTCCCCCCCCCCAACATCCGGCATGTCCCCATACTGTTTTCTCCCTCCCCGAATGAGTCAGTCATTCTTTTGGATATATATGCATGGAGTCTTCTCAAGAGTTCAGCTAAGTCAATTTTTAAAAATGATTTTCTATTCGTATTCTGATTAATAACATAATGTGTGTTATAATTTATCGTCAATAGTAGGGCTACTAACGCTTTAAACACCGTAATTTATATATATATATATATATATATATATATATATATATATATATATATATATATTCAATTTATGGGGGGCATCTTCCTTTGGTTTCGCCCCGGGCAGCAACATAGCTCTGCACGCCACTGGCGTTTATTCAGATTTTAGTCAGCTTTTCTTTTTAGATTTGCTTCCATTGCCCAAGAACAAACTACAAGGCAGAAGTTGTTTGATGTTGGAGTTTTCTCTCCTAGATGGGTTGCTTTCCCCAACTATACAGCATCACATACCCAAAATGTTCGAACTACTGATTTATGGCATTTTATTTAAATATATTTTTTTCTATTCATATTGTTTCCCTTTTTTTGTCTAAAACATCAATGCATTTATATATATATTTATGTATTTGCTCAAAATAGCACTTTGATAACCGAATTTTACAACACTGACGAACAGGAGCCAGTATAGACAGGTCATCTACTCGAGGCTTGCCAAACCTGTTGATAAAGTGATACAATTATTTTTAAGCTAAAAGTGTTTCATTTTCATTCCATATTATTATTACAGAGTTGTGTTTTCATTATTTTTAGGAAGTTTTGCCAAAGATACAGTCAGCCGATCCATTAAAAAAGTGGGTCGCCTTTTGTGGTTGTACTCTAATACAGCTTGTAAGTAGGTCACCAACTTCTCGTACTTGCCAGCTAGTATTTTTCAAACCATTTGGGAATATTTTATAAAATCGGCGAAAACAAGTTATTTCCAATACTGTTAAGTTTTTAAAATAGTAAACAATGATGGTAGACTACAAGATGTAGTCTAGCTTAAAGCAAAATATCGCCTAAGTTAAATTTTGTTTTTATTTATTCGAATCAGTAACAAGTTGTTCTAAACGTAGTTACAAAATTGATATATAGGCAAGGCCTACCTGTATTTAATTTATAATAGCTGCGGTTGTTTTTTGGGTTTTTTTTGTTTGGCACTCTTGGACAAGAAACAAATAGCCGCTATATTTTTGTTATAAATGGGAATCACTAAAATTAGTGACCTATAACTTACCCTCGACCGTGGTCGTAGAGTACGACAAAGGTGTCGAGACCAAACTGCCGGAAGATCTCGTAGTGGTGCCTGTCTGGATTACCTGCAGTGGACACACACAGGTGACTTGTAGGACTAGCAGGTAGCAAAAGTTAAACTGACGCAATACAATCCTGACTCAACAAACAACAAACTGACACAATATAATCCTGACTCAATGAACATAAAGTCCCAAACTAGCTGACTCAACAAAAACTCAAAACTAACTGGCTCACTCGATAATAAAAAAAAAACTAAAACTAAACAGCACTGACCAATCAAAAAGTCAAAGACAGCCATGTCCATCAAGTCCAGCAAAGTACGGCCGCGGAATCTTGATCTACTCATCACTCGCGTTCTACAGAAGTCATCGTCTTTTTCCCACTCTGCCTGTAAAATTTGGGACATTACAGTATGTATTTAGTGCTACATCACTTAAAATCATGTGAATATAACATCACTTGATGCAATGAGTGCTACATCGCTTAGTGAATATAACATCACTTGATGTATTTAGTTCTACATCACTTAGCACCAGTGGATATAACATCACTTGATGTAATGAGTGCCACACCACTTAACATATAACATCACTTTATGTACGAGCCACCATTAAACCTACACCCTATCCACTGTAACTCACTTTTAACCTGGGATCGTAAGACCTGGCCCAGGGATTTCTGATGACGGTTCCCAAAAATGTGGCGCTCCTGTTGGGCAGCATGGCAGTGGCGGCGCCCTGGATCAGGTCTGGCGTGCCGCACAGCCCGTGCTCGTACGTGCACTCAACCAAACAAGTGCCGAGGACACATGTGTTGCCAGCTGGTCTCAAATAGAAAGTAGAGAAATGGCCCGCAAATCTTTCATAGTAATTTTCTTGTTTGTCAAGCTGTTCAATTGTGAATGGCTTTAAACCAAGTGGCTAAACCTGAAAGAGTTTATTGAGGCGTTGCTTTTGGAGCCTAAATCTGTTACTTTTCCATATGTGTTTTTTTTTCTCTTCTATGTGTAGTTCCCTTTTCAAACCTGACGGTCTATAGGGCAAGTGAAGTAGAGTTCACTTGTTTCTGTGACCTCGGCATATGAAGAGATAGTGTGGTCAGCACTATGCCCAGCCGCCATTACTTTCCCTAACGTGAGTTAGGTACCCATCAGAGCTCGGTTCTACTGACTTGAACCCTGATTCGAACTCCAGACTTACAGGTTAGCAGTCCAGCTCTCTACCGCTAGACCACTCCGTCCCCATCTAGTGTAATAGTCTGTATTAGTGAGTGTCGTTGTGTGTGTTTATCTAGTGTCTGGTGTTTGTTTATGGCTGCAGTTCCACCTAACATGACCAACTCACCTAGTGAGGTGTCTCTGTGTCTGTGTATCTGTGTGTTTGTGTGTCTGTCGACGTGTAGTACCACCTTATATAACCAACTCACCTGGTGAGGTGTCTGTGTGTTTGTGTATGTATGTTTGTGTGTCTGTATGTTTATGTGTCTGTAGACGTATAGTACCACCTTACATGACCAACTCACCTGGTGAGGTGTTTGTGTGTATGTGTGTTTGTGTGTCTGTAGACGTATAGTACCACCTTACATGACCAACTCACCTGGTGAGGTGTCTGTGTGTTTGTGTGTATGTGTGTTTGTGTGTCTGTAGACGTGTAGTACCACCATACATGACCAACTCACCTGGTGAGATGTCTGTGTGTTTGTGTGTCTGTAGACGTGTAGTACCACCTTACATGACCAACACACCTGGTGAGGTGTATGTGTGTCTGTATGTCTGTGTGTCTGTAGATGTGTAGTACCACCTAACATGACCAACTCACCTGGTGAGGTGTCTGTGTGTATGTGTGTCTGTGTGTTTGTGTGTCTGTAGACGTGTAGTACCACCTAACATGACCAACTCACCTGGTGAGGTGTCTGTGTGTCTGTGTGTCTGTATGTTTGTGTGTCTGTAGACGTGTAGTACCACCTTACATGATCAACTCACCTGGTGAGGTGTATGTGTGTCTGTATGTTTGTGTGTCTGTAGACGTGTAGTACCGCTTTACATGACCAACTCACCTGGTGAGGTGTACGCAGAAGACCTGAGCTCACTGTCACCCACCTGGACCACGTCACGTGTGATGTTCAAAACTCTTCCAACGGTTGGCGGCGCACGGTAAAACGCCAGCACCCTGAGGGGTAACACCAGACACGTATTGATATCATTGTGTTATCCTTGTGTAATCCTTGTGTTATCCTTGTGTTATCGTTATATTATCATTTTGTATCATTAAGTATCATTCAGTCGTCACTGTGTTAATATTATGTTATCGCTATTTTCGAAGGCTGCACCTATATCAAAACACAGTTATATAATACACCCCTTCGCAATCATCATACGTCGCCCTAAGAGAAAGAACCCTATAATGGCTAATCACCTCAGTTTTCCCTTAATACTGCCCCACCCCTATATCTATCTTAGGTAAGGGAAATAATCAATAATTATTTTTTTAAAAATACACTACTTTTTATTCTGCTAGTTAAGAAGATGTTGACAAAACAATTGCTATTTACTACTAATTAAGTTCATTATTACATTATTTGATTTGACGAAAATATGTTTAATACAAAAAGTCTACTACAGTGCTATGTCACGCTTTCTCAACTTCCTCTCCTGTCGTCACACATCGTCACACTGGCCTCCCTTCCCCAAAGCAATGTGGTGCCATTTATAAAGAACGAAATCTATCGTATCCTCTAGAAATAACATAGCCTCACTATTTGCTTTGATCACCGCACTTGAGGTCGACCTTGGCCGCGCTAATCCTTGAGTTCAATGTGTCATATTTGCACATTGGATTAAACAACACACAGTATTTGAATGATTATAACATGGCGTGTAAACAAACTTCGATTCTAACCTGTGTCAATAGGATAACAAGATCTTGGTGTGGTTTAACATAAGCAATAAATTTTACAGTGTCAATAGTATAACATGGTCGATAAAGCATACAGAATAAGATGATGCTGTGTTTGTTCTTGTTCTTACAAACTTCTGCACATGACTTATCAGTGCGATATGCAGATGGAGCTAAATAAAGTTTCCCACAAAGTGGTCAGCGTTAGGGTACGTCTAATCCCACAAAGAGGTCAGTGTTAGGGTACATTGACCAGTAACTTACCTGTCCAGATGAAAAGCGGCAATCTCAGCCATAGGTCTCTCCCGGTCACTGAAGTAGAAATGGTCGGGTAAAGTCTCCTGGTATTTTGTGGTCCTGAAAGTTGAAAACTTTTGGTACAAAATTAAAACCGTTTGGTAAAATTGGTCGTGTTAGGTCTCTTGCTACTTTGCGGTCCCTGGAGTTAAAAACATTAGAATAACAAGTAACTCGAGCTGATTTAGTTTTATTGATTTCATGTGTTTCATGGTATAATAATTACAGCCACTGTGTCACTTAGCTTTTGTAAGCAAAACACTGCGTAATCTTAAGTAAGCACGTTAATCTTTATGGTAAAACTTACATGATGATCTTTATGGTAAAATTTACTTGAAAATCTTGATGGTAAAATTTGCTTTGTTAACCTTGGCGATAAAACTTACTTGACAGGCTTAAACATGGCCCTACCGCCGTCATCAAACGTGAGCGTTAAAAGTAGATGTGAGCTCAGTTTGTTGCACGCTGGTGATGGTCAAATATTGGATGAGTTAGGGTTAGTGGTTGAATTCAGTACAAGAATGTTGGTTGTTGGCTAAGTTAGGGTTGGTGGTTGAAGTCTGACAAGAATGGGTGGTTGAAGTCTGTACATGTTGTAAGTGTTATATTGAATATACTAGTAGACTTAGCGTGGACGGCGTAGTCAAATGGTAACTTCTAACCCAAAAGTCTCGAGTTCGGACCCCGGGCTCGAGTCTGTAGGACGTCCCTGAGTCTACCCAGCCCTAAAGGGTACCTAACTTAAGTTAGGGAAACTAAGGCGGCTCGGTACACTACTAACCACACTATCTCCCTGTATGTCGAGGTCATTGAAACATATCAACTTTATCTGTCCTATTTATATTAGGCACAAACAGGAAAAAAGGATGATGAACAACGTCAACAAAACTTGGAGCCAAAGTTCTAAAGTTGACTGATGAACATTCTAACATTTTGCCAATTTTGGTCATGTGAAATGTATGAAACTGTAATGTTGGCTCAGTGGACAAGAAAACTACGGACAGGCAACTCGTGTCGTGCTTGCAGACAGGGGTTATCTGCCCTGGTGACCTACCTGTATGAACAATGGGCCTGGTGTTGAGGTCACGCAGTAGGTCAGCCACGATGTCGTCCTCCTCTGGGTCATACAGGTAGTGCTGCCTTATTCCACGCTGGAATCGTTCCCAGGACGCCGAGCTAATGGGGTTGTTGGAGGCAAGAGTCTTACGTTAGCGTACAATATATATACAGTCTATTTTAAAACTGCATTATACATACTTAAAACATACGCTAAATATATATAAAGCATACATTTTACCAACCCCCAAACCTGCAGTGAACATAAAATAAACCTACAAAAATAAACAGAGAGTGATCTCCCCTAAACTTTCTCAAATCTATATATATAATTCTCTTCTGGGAGACGCTAGAAAACAAGCTGCAAGCGCGCCTTGCAGTACCCTCTCTTCCTCTCTATCGTTACCAACCCCCCCCCCCCCCCTATCACATGGTCTGGTGAGCTGTGGTTCACGCTAAATGCTTACAAACCGTAGAGACGGGTTTAGTGACGGCTATTAGGGGGAGATAATTTAGTTTGAAATGATTTTAAACTTAGGGGAGGTAACTAAGAGGAGGCTGCTTTCACGAGGGGGTGGGGCAGGGGTTGGGGGAAAGGAGGGTTTTGGTGTTTTAAAGCAAATATTTTCAGTGGCAGAATTCGTACTGTCGAATTCACAAATTATGAATTACTGAAATGTTGAAAAAACAACTAAATAGCGGCGTATGATACGCCGCGGGTCGGCTCGTATTATATACTAGCCATCGGTACCCGTTTCACGTGCATTATAGGCCTATATATTTTAAAAATGTTGTACTTGTTTGAGAAAAATAATTTATAAAATAGTTATTGGTCAAAACGCAATGTGCATTACTACACGCTGAACGATATTAGTCACAAAGCAAAGAAATACCTAATTAGCTAAAAATCCGACACATTTAACATAACACAGGCAAACACTGATTAAGTGACTTAAATGATTCCGTTAAAAAACTCGGCTATTTCACGGTATTCTTCTTGTTTTTAAAGTGATTTATTTTTATTATTTTTTTATGAATAGATCTATAGATTTAAATGAAATAGCTCATTTCTTCATCGGTAACCATATCATATTAAACGCACTTGCTGATTAAGAGACTTAAAAGATTTCTTTAAAAACCCGGTTGTTCAATGGTAGTTATGTTGTTTTTGTCTTTTAAAAACACATGGGTCTGACCACACTATCCCTTCATATGCTAAAAAGACAGAGACATGTGAACTCTACTTCACCTGCCCCGTGTCCCGCCTAGTCCTGATAGGCAACTTTATTATCAACATATAAAAAAAAAATTAAGATTAACTTGGTAAAGAAACTTAACTTACGCGAATAGCCCTATTAAGTACATTTTATCCCAAGTTGACCAATTCTATAGCTTAACAAAGATTTCTATAAAATAGTTAAGGCCTGAAATAGTTAATTATAGAAATTTATTATGGGAATAGAATCTAGAGTAGATCCAGATCTTAGCGTCTACATCTAGTTTTTCCGTAGATCTAGTTTAGATCTAGAACCGAGATCTAGATCTAGATCTATATCTAGAATCCAAATAGATAAAGTAAAAACTTTTAAAAGTTTAGGCCGAGAAAATCGTATTGTATACATTTCATAGCGTACCTAGCTCTAAATCATATTTGAATGAAATAGTTCATTTCTTTATTTTATTCTAAACTCGGAAGATGACGTCATTTGTTTCGTTCTCGTTTTTTGTAAATTCTTATGCGTTTTTTGAGAAATCGGTTAATAGCGTACATTACTACTTCCGGTCATCGGAAATAACTCAAAATTTGAAAGAAGACAGAGAATTATTATATGTGAAATTTCGTTTCAGATTCACTTGTAATAAGCAAACATGTGTGTACTCTGGATAAATATTGCTTTTTTTAAATAAAGGCAGTAAAAAAATATATCGTTACAGTCACTGAAATCTTTCAAATATACCAATCCCTATATCTACTCCGAAATAGAATAATTGTTATGTTGGTAAGGGGAACACAAACTCACCCATTTGTCTTCACAAACGCGCTGAAGTTACCTCCCGTTCTCCTGAACCGTTTTATCCTTCTAATGAACTCAGTGTACGACTCCGCGTCATCCAAGTACAGCACATTGTTTCTCGCTGTGTAACGATCTCGGAAACTTTGGGAGAGTTCTTCCCCCTGATCCAGGCTGTATCTAGACTTACTGCCCCTTCCAGGAACGATAACTCTTGGAAGCTAATTAAAAATAGATTCTTTCTAAATGCCTTAATAGAGTAATAAAGTGCAAACGGTTTTTAATTTAGAACAGTGTTTACAAAATGAAAATTGGATCACGTACAGAAGTGAAACTAATATATCACACTGAAAAGTGAAACAAACAAAAATATCACAGAGAAAAGTTAAACTAACAAATATATCAAGTGAAAAGTGAAATCAACATATATATATCACACTGAAAAGTGAAGCCAATCTATATTTGCCTCTAGTGAGTACCTTGATGCTCGTGAGCCCCCAGTTCCAGTGTGTCTCCAGAGAAAGCAGATGTGTCTGTAAACACAACCACAACACAACACCAACAAGGAAAGAAAATTTGATTTTTGCCTTAGTACAGCGAAAAAACCACAACATTTTTTATCACCAATGCAACGGTTATTTTAATATTTAACTATGATGTGATTTAACAACACCAATTTTTTGTATCACTAAAAAATATGTGAACAAAGAGAATCTTGTGAACAACATCAGCCATGCTAGAAAGTTGAGCGACTCAATCGATGGTGGCAATCTGTGACTGAAACTCCTTGACTTGGGAGGTGTAAAGAGTATTAAATAACACGTGTAAGTGGGAGTGCAACATTGGCACATACAGCAAACCGTCCTGCATACATTATCTCAATACAGACAAGTCACGGGAATGTAAGTTCTATTCTGTATGTGCGGGCGGACGGACAGCGTGTGGACAGCGGATTATAAAGAAATGATAGACTTCATCGCCATATATATATATATATATATATATATATATATATATATATATATATATATATATATATACAGGGGCGGAACTACAGTGCCGCCAGACCCCGCAATGCGGGGGGGGGGCATGACATTCAGGGGCCCAACAGCCGACCATAAATACATTTTTTATAGTTAAAAAAAAATAATTTTCTTGCATTTTTGACTTGATGGTTGTTTTTTAAAAAGAATACCGTAGCTGCGGTTGGATTATCTTTATTCTATAGACACCACCCCGCGCTCTTGTATATTCTTTTTCCCTTTGTTTTTAAACCACTGTGAAAGCCGAGTCCTCTTTCATAGATAAGCAAACGTTCAAACCACTTCCATGACTTATTTCCCTTTTCTAAAGAGTCAAATAGGGGTGCTCATAAGCTTCTTTTAATAGATTTGTACTAAACAAATTAAATAGCAATTACTTCTCTTACTTGTTATTTTTTTATAAAGTAGGGCCTACTTACTAAAGAATGACATTGCCTATAAAGGAAATGTATTTAAAATGAATAATATAAATACGAAAAACGTAAAAATAAACATAACACGAGACACCATTACTTATACAAAGCTTTCATGTTTTATATTCTTTTGACCGTGTAGAAGTTAACCGGTCTTATAGCACAGATTTATAAAAACAATTTCAAATCACACTAATGCACTTACACACATGACATGTAGTTGTAAATTGTTTTAATTGTATGTATGAATATAAAAATATATACCTACATACACACACACACACACACATATATATATATATATATATATATATATATATAGGGGGGCTAAACAAATTTGCGGGGTGGCCCTTTATTTCTAGTTCCGCCACTGTATATATATATATATATATATATATATATATATATATATATATATATATATATATATATATATATATATATATATGAGCGGGTGAATGTATTATTCGTATTATATTACTTGGGTGAATGTGTGCGTGAATGGTCAACAGGACAGTGGCTACGGGGTTTCCCTTCCGGCCGAGCGGCTGTTTAAGGCCGACTGACTGCTTGGGTCTTTCTTTAATTTGACCTGAGCCGAGAATGTAGGTCGTGTCTGGGGGTTTTGTTTTTCTTTACCTTATTTTATTTGTATGTGTGAGATATGAAAGCGGCTATTGATGTGTTTCTCGTTTCCTTTCATTTTCGACTAAAACGAGATGGTAGACGTTGGCAGGTCTGGTGTGTTCTTTTGGTGATTTAAAATGTACGAGCTTACCCGCGACGTAGAATACGCCGCTATTTAGTTGTTTTATTTCCTATTTTTCATATTTTGTGAATTAGACACTACCAATGCAGCGACTGAAAATATTTTGGTTTAAAACATTATCAGTAGCTAGTGAAGGACGATTATCCTCACCCTCACTTTTCACTCCTCTCCCCCCTCCCCCGTGAAAGCTGCCATCAGTGACGACATATTACGGTCGACAATGAAAAGATCAAGCAGAACGTGTTATTACCTCCACTTAGTTTCCAATTGTTTAAAAACGAATTTATCTGCCCCTAATAGCCGTCACTAATTCGACCCGATAGAAAACTTCTCACCAGACTGGTGGGGGTGGTAGCGATATGGTCTGTTGAGCTTACGTCTTGGTGGTTTCTCGCATGGTCCCCATGAAGAGAATTATATGGTTTAGTTGAATGTTTAAGTGAGTTTCCTAATCTGTTGTGAACCTGTGTATATTTTGTTGTATTTACTTGATTATTTTTATGCTGTATTGTTATAGTGGGTTCCCCACGATGACTAAGTTTGGCTTAGTCACTACATGGATTAGTTGGGCTTGTCTAAGGTAGTAATTAGTATATTTTAGTTTGCCTCGAGTTTGAGATTGCTTTAAAATTAATTTGTGTGATGTTTCTTACAACATCATGTTGGGTATCACTTACTTTGTGTCTGCCTTTATTGGGGTTTTAGCGGGTGTTACTTTATGTTTATTAATGTGGATGTTGTGTAGGTAGACCAATGGCTTCGGGCTGCTCCTTGTGTATGTTAAGCTGGTTCTACCATGATTTTATTACACGTTATTTTTAATTTGCTAGTATACTATTTTATTGATCCGTGTGTCTTATTTAACCCTGTTGTGTACAGTGGCTTTCTTGGTAAGACTGTGGTTAGTTCTGTCTTAAGAATTGATTTTAGTATTTTACTCAAGGCTTTAGTTAGTTATCTTTAGTAGTAGTAAGTAGTATTTAAAACATGTGTATATATTTATGTATATATTTTCTATGTGTTATATTCATGTATTTTTTTCTTTTCTCTCCCCCCCCCCCCCCCTTTCCAGTGAGGTTGTAACTTGGCTGGGTGTTTGTATGTTTATTTTGTATGTTTTTGATGTTTCGTATGTTTTGTTTCGTATGTTTTGTTTTGTTTGTTTTGTTTTGTTTGTTTAGTGTTTGCTTCGATGTTTTGTTTGTTTGACATGTGCGTTTGGTGCGGATGTTACTAAGCTTTTCAATTGCCGTAGGGGATGAGGAAGGTTGTCTGTCGTTCAGAAACTTAGAGCATCCGAGGCTTCGAAGGTTTAAAATATTCAACTGGAAGTTGGGTGTTTTGTTTTGTTCGGTTATGTTTAGTCTGTAATGTTTTGTTTTGTCTCTATTTATCCCATTTAGTATTTTTTAACTAACTTTTTTTTACATTTGATTCCATTCTTTTTACTTAATAAATTTTATAAACTGTTAGCTTTTTTTGGTTTACTTTTAGTATAAGACGGGTTAGGGTTTAACCAGTCTGGGTTAAGCCGGACTTGCACTGACCTGCTAATTTATATAAGCCTTGGGACTTAGATATAGTAACCCCCCCCCCCCTGTCAAGGCTTACATTTATATATATATATATATATATATATATATATATATATATATATATATATATATATATATATATATATATATGTGTGTGTATATGAAAAGAATCTGATAAATTAATAGCTACAATAGACTCAAATCAAAAGATAAAACCATTTATACAATTTTACAAAGAGACGGTGCAATCTTAACTCACAAGACAAATACAAAGTGATGGAAAGTAGACTCTGGTCATACAGACAACGAACTTTATTTTAATTATTTTAATTGCTCGTGATCTCGTTAATCCTGGTGATCTTCTGTGTTAGCGTGAAATTATTTTAATAAGCAGACACATACATCATCGCACAAATATGTTAATTATATCTCTCAATAAACAAGCATATGTAATTTTACTTAATCAGAGATACAAAAGGAACTTTTATATTAAAGGTATAAATTACATAAACATAGTGGTAGTTTTTTGTTAACATTTTAGAACATTAGACGTTGCTGGCGTATTTGTGAAAATGGGTACATCAATAAACAGG